CCAATCCTCAATTACTGAAGGTATCCTTGTAATTCCAATTAGCTACTACCTGAATACCATCACATGTGACGAGGCTCAGATAATCCTTCGAATAAAGGACTTATCCCTACAACGGTTAGACTCATACGAGAGTTGTGCAATAGGGCCAAATCTAGCACTCTGAGATTATTCAACCCTGGTTACATGTGACTTGATGTATTCACCTAATGGCTAACTCCCATTACTCAGAATCCAACAAATCACAAAACAAGTAGCATTCAGACAAAAGGAAAAATTCTAACCACATAATCCAATCATACTGCTCTATCCACTACTCAGGAATCTATACTAGCATGCAACTCATAAAGCTCATACACATAACATGCACATAAGGCATCATCCTAGATCCTTAGTCCTAATCTAGCATGCAGTTCTTATAAAGTTGAAACACATATAGCAGGCACATAAGGAATCCTTCCTAGATCCTTAGTCCTAATCTAGCATGTTGTTCTAAATAAGCTGATAATCATAACATAACATAAACTTGTATGGGTAATTTGGGAGTACTTACTTAAGCTCGGCTGATTGCATGCACCACACCCTTTTTCTCTTTTCAAAATTATTTTCCTTCTTAAAATTTGTTTTCACCTTTTCTAAAAATCTTTTCTTTCCTCAAAATTCCTTTATAGAAAAATTGATTTGCCTTTTGAAAATATTCTATACCAATTCCTTAGTTTGAGTTCAGACACACGCGAAAGTGTGCCTGAATCCCTCAAACCAAGGCTCTGATACCAACTTGAAACATCCCAAAAATACAAGCCAAAAATTTTCATTTTCAAAATCATTTAATAAACATAAACATCATCACCATAATATCAAATCATAACTCATGTGTCTAAAATGTCATAATATCCATCAACATATCAAAATCTCATATGAAATATCAAAGTAATCTCCTAGGATAAAGAACTGTGGTGTATGCCATGCAGTCATCCCGAGCTCTTCCCTCCGCTACCGGAAGTACCTGAACAAAAACTGAAACTGTAAGCATGGAGCTTAGTGAGATCCCCTATACTACCACATATCATACACTTAACATGTAACAAATAACATAACTCTGGGACTACTCCCAACTACATTGGGACGAATCCCGACATCAACTCACCCAACATCGGACTCCTGTCCGACATCGGGCTCACCTCGACATCCGACCGTATCGGGCATCAGGCTCAGCTAACATCGGGATTACCCCGACATCGAGCTTACCCCGACACATACATAACATAATCACACAATATGCATTGGGCTTGCCCCGACATCGAATGAAGCCTACAACAAATAAGATATAACACATAAACTAGCATACATCAGGCTTGCCCCGAAATACATAATACATGGCATAATAACTAACATACATCGAGCTTGCCATGGCATCGGGATTACCCCAGAACACTTAACACATAACACATAACATATAACATATCACGTATACTACATCAGGCTTGCCGACATCAGACCGAAGCCCGAAACATATAGCACATAACACATAAACATGCATGAATCATAAAGATGTCAAACATACATAACTACTTCTCGGGACCGAGCCGGCATCGGACCGTAGTCCGGTAACATATAAACTGCATCGGGCTAACCCCGACATTGGGTTTACTCCGACATACTTTATTACTTAAACAGGCCAACATTGGTGCCTTAGACCCGTTCCTACTGGAAGGAAACTTACCTCTCAAACTGAATGCTGAAAACTCGAGCGAGGGTATCTCTGTCAGCCACTCCGACAACTCCCCAGCTATTAGGACCACAATAAACACTTAGTCAAAAACTGAGAATCCATATAAGGGTAAAATGACTATTTTACCCCTTTGATCTAAATTAGACCATGACCAAGGCCCAATCCTTTCTAGTCTTTCCAAACTCACTAAGGCCCATTAAAGTTCTCTAATGGCCTAATTTTCTAAATTTGGCCCAACTCCTCAAATGGGCTTTCCACCCAAGCCCAAACTAGTCCTTGGATTGGCCCAAAAAGAGGTCCAATAATGTAAAGTCCATAATCTGAGTGTACACTGAGCGTACTCTTTTGTACGCTACGCGTACTAGCGTGTACGCCCAACATACTCTCATGTGAAGCCATTTTCTTCAAACCTCTTAAACCCTTAAGACACTATGTCCAAACTACATATCTGAGTCCAATAACCCTTCTTAACCCATAAAGTTGATCACTTGGTGTCTTGCACCTCACCAAATGAGATCAAAGTTGTAAAAATAACAACTATCTTCATGGAAATGGCTAGATTTCTTGCATGGATGCAAATGGGCCTTAAATATTGCAACTTTACTGCTCAAGGGACTCAAATAGCTTCATGGGTGCCAACCCTAAGTCCAGAAATGGATTTGCACCATAAAAATCCATTCTCGAAACCAAAAAGGGACAATATCCATGAGAACCTAGATCTATGATGTAGAAACAGCAAGATGAGAACTTTATACCTTCAATAGGCTAGAAATGATGTAAAACTATTGGATCTACAAGCTCTCTTGAATCTCTTGCTTTTCTCTAAACAACTTCTTCTTCAAAATCACCAAAAGACTCCTATAATGGCCATCCGAGCTCCAAAATCACTCAAATGAGGGATAAGGATCGATTTCTAGGGTTTAGAGGGTGGAGGCTGAAGATATTAGGGTTAGGTTATGACATAATGAGCTTAGATAGGGTCCAAGACCGTCAAATACGGTTCAGGTCTGATTGACATACGTCTAGCGTACTCCGAAGAACATTCACGACCATTCTGATCAGTACGCCCAACGTACTCAAAAGTAGACCCAACGTACTGCCTTCTTCACTGGTACGCCCAATATACTCTTTGTGTATGCCCAGCGTACTCGGCTAAGCCTGAAACCACCAAACTTCTGAAGGCCATAACTTCTTCGTTATAAATTTGTTTTCGACAATCCTTATATCCACGATAAGGTATCGAGAAGCCATACACTTCTGTCAACTCATATCTTCCTTAAGACCTTTCGAACAAAAGTACATTTTCCAGAAAAGCCCAAACTGACACTTTACCGAAATACCCCTAGGCTCCAAAACACAAATCGGACATCCAGGTCGCTTCTAATACATCACTCGCACCCAAAATGACCTAGATCTTACCCTTTTCAAAATCCATAATCCATATGATGACCGACCTTCAGGCCACAACCTTATACTAGGAGTCAATTCAGAATAGGGCGTTATAGAAATTCAGTGGTTATTCTGTTAGTTTATGTTGATAATATTATAATTACTGGTAATAGTGAATTTAATTTTAATAAGGTAAAAGATTTCCTTAAATCCCTGTTTCTTATAAAAGATTTAGGAAAACTAAAATATTTCTTAGGCATTGAGATTGTAGAAGTTCCTAATGGGGTCTGTTTGTCTTAAAGAAAATATTGTTTAGAGTTACTTCATGATTTTGGAATGTTGGGGTATAAACCTGTAAAGACTCCTCTTAAGTTCAATTTTGTTATCAGTGATCATAGTAGTGTTTTGCTTGAAAACATTGTAGAATTTCAGAAACTCATTGGAAAGCTTATCTATTTGACTATTACCAGACCATATATTGATTATTATGTTCATGTATTAAGTTAATATATACATAAGCATAACAAATGTCACTTGCAAATTTCCTTGAGGTTGTTAAGGTTTCTTAAACATAATCCTGGAATGGGTGTTTTATATGTTAAGTTTGGGTCTGATTCACTTCTTCAAAGAGGTTTTTCATATGCAGATTGGGCTAAGAGGTTATTTTCTAGAAAATATGTTAGTGGTTATGTTGTTTACTTTGGTAGTTCTCCAATATTATTGAGAAGTAAAAAACAACCCACAATATCTCATTCTTCTACTGAGTCTGAATATACAGCTCTTTAAACTCTTTCATGAAAGTGCTATGTGAGATATTGTTAAAAAAATATGGTTCCTATGAATATTTTTTGTGATAATGAGTCAGCAATTAAAATTGCTTTTAACCCCGTTTTTCATTATAAGACAAAGCATCTTGAAACAAATGTTCATTTTATAAGGGAAAATTTTTAAAAAGGTGTTATAAAATTGGTTAAGATTAATTCTGCTAATCAGGTTGCTGATATTTTAACTAAGTCTCTTTCTTCTAATCAACATGTTTTTTTGTGTAAAAATTGTGTTTGTTTGATCCTTTTTCAAATTAATTGTGTTTTCAAAATGGTTAGTATGAGAGGGGTTGTAAAAATTAATAGCTTTAGTTTATTGTCAAATTAACATTTTGAAGGTAAGGGTATATTTTGCACTAGTTGGTTATTTATAAGGTGCAGGTTATCTTTTGGATCAGTTCAAGGGTTAGAGTGAAAGTTGGTAGTATCAGATGGGTTTGTACACGGGTCTTCTGGTCATCTTTGACCGGGCTGTATATGGCAGTGAAGAGTTGAATCTATATTCATTCTTCTAAGATATTTTCCAGAGTTTCCTTCTCTCGTTCACACAGTTAAAACCAATTAGGGTTTCCTACATATTGTTTGTTCTTGTTTAAGTTTTTTTCTCAGATCTTTAATAGATTAGGTTGTGTGATTCATTGTGAGAGTAGTGTAGGTTGTAATGAGGTTCTTATGTAAGTTGATGAAAATCTTTTGACTCTTAAGCTTCGAATGATACAAGGGTTGATGATGTTGGTAAAGAATTCTTGTTTAAAGTTTTTACACATAATGGGGCCTCTTAGTTATCATGGCACACCAAATCAAATGGCAATTTAGGTGCAACTTGAGGACAATGGTTGTCAATTACTCAATATAACTTTTTTTCTCTAGCGTGTATCAATTAGGAGAAACCTTATCTGTTATTCGTCTTTATATACCCACCATAGAATTTAAAGTGAATGCAGTACTTATACATTTCATTCGTCTGCCAAGTAATTCTTGAACATTTCCTTAGTAACATATTCTCTTCGGTTTTTGGCTTTAATAATTATTTCAGTTGAATTCAACTAACATTTTGAATGGAATATGTGGAAGTGGAGCTTGGAGATGTAGATATCATTCAAAGCACTGTCCAAAGTATTCTTGATTGTGTAGAAAATGAAAAGAATCATTGCTACCAACTTCCACCATCTATTTACATGGTGCCTTGGGTGTTTCGTGAACTCAACCCAAGTTCTTTCAACCCTAGAGCTGTCTGTATTGGTCCTCTTCACATAGAAGATAAAAAACTGCAAGAATTTGAAAGATATAAAGCTTCTTGTGTGCATGATTTATTGCATCGTTTAGATACCCCAACAGAAGAGACATTGCAAGCATGTGTGTGTAAGGTAAATGATTTAATAGACAGAATCAGGGCATGTTATGCAAAATGGTCGATGGCCATGGAAGTGAAATTTAGTAGGTTTCCGTGGCTTTTTTGGTTTTGGGGTAAGCCTACTTTCAGAATTCCTGTATTACAACTTCATGATTACTCCGAGTTGCTTTTAAGGAACCTCGTGGCATATGAGCAGTCGTCTCTTAGTTATAATTTCGTTACATCGTATCTCATAGCCATGGATATGCTAGTCAATACTCAAAGAGGTGTTGCCATGTTGGTAAGATCCAAAGTCCTTCTCAAGAATTTCGGTTAAGATGATGAGGCAGCTAGTATGTTGAATAGTATATGCAAAGAAGTTACCCCGGTACATTTCTTTTACAGCCAACTGTGGAAAATATGGGATAGCCACTGCAATGGTTACTGGCCAAAAAATGTTGCATGGTCGAGGCGTACTTATTTCAATAGTCCATGGAATATCATAACTTTACTTGCTGGAATCATCTTGTTTGCTCTTACCATCATTCAGACCATCTTTACCATCAAGGCCACATAATTCTATATATACTTGCTTTGGTTTTATATATGGAATCATCTATCTTGTATTCTATCAGTTGTGCATCAGTCCTTGTATCTTGTTATGAATAAGCAATTTCTGGCAAGCAGAAATATTCCTCATTACAATTATTCTTAGATTTACTAGGAAAAAATTATATCTCAGTGGTTGATCATCCACGACAAACTAAATGACATTTGATTTAACGGCATAGAAAAAGTTTCATTAAAAACCAAAAAAGTGCCACTAAAGACACCCTGAATAAGTGGTACAAAAAAATTAAAAATAAACTAAAGGCATTTAGTGACACTTTTCTGTTGTGTCGCTACAGTCCTCTTGGGTTTTAGTGATATTTTTTTATGCAACTGTAACACTTTTGTTTTTTTTTATGGCACATTTTTATGAGACTATATAATTGCTAAAATAAAAACATTTATATTTGTAAATGTGACAACCCAAAATTTCTAGCTTACATTCATCTTTTATATCAAAGTTAGCTTCGTTTTGCTATTTTATAATGAAGTTTTGGGTCTAAAAGAGTGCTTAAAGCTTAGTATAATTGAGATATGTGTCGGAGGATGGGTTAGTTTGGTTGTAGCATTGGTAAAACGAGCCAAACACACCAAAAACTAGTGTGTGCGGCCAGCCAGCCGCATACAGGCCAACCACACACACCCTCCTATAAGCACTATCCTTGGTCATTTTGATCATTTATTACACTCTTGCAAAGCTAGGACTCGAAAATCCTCTCAAGTATCATCCGGAAAGGTAACATCTTTCACCAAGAACACCAAGAACACCATGTTTTCTGGCAGCACACACTTCTGGCAGCACACCAGGCTGCACACCTGGCCGCACACATGTGCTTGCAGCACACATGGCCGCACACACACATATAGTGTGTATTTTGACCATACACTCTCTTGTATAGCCTTTTAACCCTTCGTACAATCATTTATGGTTGTAACACTTCATAAGAAGTTTTTACTAGTCCCTAAGGTGGTCCCAATTCGTTAATTCGTTGTTCATAACACTAATTATATTCATATATGTGCCAATATATGCTAAATAGGATTCGCGTGTTTACTCAAGTCACCATTTGATACTTAGCAACAGATCCAACGTTGTGATCAGAACCACTCACTACAGGTGAGTTCATACCCCTAAAATAACCTTTGAAATGTTTTTAAATGCTTTTATGGGGGGAATACAAGTTGAACAATTATAGTTATTATTGTTGGATAAGGTGTCTAAGTCCATAACTTATTTGGTATATACTTGACCCGACCGGCATGGTCCATTTGGGTTGCATCTCATCCAAACTATTATGGATAATTTTATGAGAGTTATACACATATGTTTATTAATATATTATGAGTTATAATATATTAATATGAAGTTACGTTATTTAATTAGTTTTAGTCTTAAATTAATTATGGATTAATTTAGAGATTAAAAGGAATACTAATTAAATTATGGGCTATTTGTTTTATATAGTGTGGGCTAATAGTCATTTGTTAATGGGCTAGGCTTATGTGGAAGTCCATGGATGATCCATGGAGCTTTTAACCCATGGATCCTTGGAAAAGGAAAAGACATGGGTTATTAGGGTTTCACCCTAACCATGCACACTATATAAGCATGCTTATGGAGCATGAAATGGAGCCAAAGAGAAAACTAGTGAACTAGTGTGTGTGTGCATGTGTGTGGCCGATTTATACAAGGTGTATACTCTCATCAAAGTTTTCCAAGAGTTTGTGGTGTTTGTGATTCCATTTGAGGCATTCACACTATTGGTGCTTGGCCCTCAAACTCCTAAGAACCAACTCACCAAAAGGTATGTAATCTCTTCTAACTCTTTTATGTTGAAATGTTCCCCATGCCATGTTAGATAGGTTATAAACCTTGGAAAATTATTATTTTGCATGTATTTAGACAAACATAGATCCAAGGTTTATTAGGGTTGCATGCACACTTAGGAAGTGTTAGATTGCTCAAAACCCAACAGTGGTATCAGAGCCTAGGCTTGCTTGTTTGATACTTGATGCAAAATAGTGAAAAAAGTCGAAATCGTTGCTGTCTGCATGGTGGACTCGCCGAGTCCATTGGGGGACTCGACGAGTCCAAGGCAAACTTCAACCTACTCGACGAGTCAGTTCATGCACTCGACGAGTAGGATCGAAAGAGTGCAGATTCTCGACTTTTGCTGCTGGAAATGGACTAGAAACATTACCCTAAACTGTTTTGGTGTTATAAAACTTATTTTAGTTGGTGTAATGGTTGTTCTAATCCATTTACAATAGCATATATCAAAATTCCATGATTTTATGTGTTCATATAATTCTTGAATTTTTGATGATCATGTTCATGTTCTTATGAATTTAGAAAATGATAGGAATTATTTGCTGAATTGTTTAGGATTAATTCTTTATCATTTATGTGTTTTAATGGAGTCCATAATTTGTCCTCAAGTTATGGATTACCAAAGGTCACTTTATTTAACACACACTTAAAACACATAAGTTACATGAAAATGAAGAGTCTTCATTTTTATGAACCTTTAATTCATAAGTTATGAAATGAAGAGTTTTGCAAAGTTACAAAACTTGCCCTCAAGTTTTGGAATTTGTAAAGTTTCACACACTTTAATAAACTTTAATTCCAAACCTTAGAGTTTTAATAGTTAAAATTCAACCCTTATACTATTTATAACATTAATGGTTAATTATTATATATATGTATAAGAATAAGTCGTTTTACCGTTAGTAGGCCTCATTCACGAAGCCGGTCTATAAGGTGGGTATAAGGTTGTTGCCTATAAAATGGCGACTTAATGGGTGTATACTCTCACCCACCGCTTGCTTGATCGGTGGAGGGTCGTTAGCCGAACGGGTAGAACAATGACTTTAAATCCTCATTAAAAGTATAATGAATATTATAAAGTAACTAAACTCTTTTAATTCCCAATCTTAGTTATTTTAGGAAAATGTGAACATGGTGCTAATCCATGGAATTCACACTTTGTACCTTACCAAGTCGTTGGTGGAGCGTGTGTGGTTAACCGGCACACTAACTAGGACTAGTAAGGATCACGAAGGGTGACTTAATGTTTGTCATAGATCAATGGAGCGTGTGTGGTTAACCGGCACATTGATTAGGTGATAATATTAAGGAGTACCAAGTGAATTAGCATGGTTATTCACACCTTGTTTTGTGATCCTCGGCATCCCAGTCACAAAACTTGAAGGGCACAATCGAGATTGAAACATGCCATTGAAAAGTTCAATGAATCTCAAAAGAATCTAGGAATTTCAAATCCAATTAAACCTAATAAATCATTTCGTTTTCATGGTGGAAATTGGTGAATCGTCATTCACCTACCTTTCAAATATATTATTACTTAGATTACGGCATCCCTCTTCTAAGTGTAATATATTGTGATTGGATCCTAGCCTTAATATTACATTTGGGTGTCTTATTAAGGATCCTAAATATCTAATCTAAACTTACTTTCTTCTTTCAGATGTCTTCCAACACTAATGCTTCAGGCTCTAACCCAACTGGTTCTTTCTCTCTCATGAATCTTTGTGGGAGGGTCATCTTTGATGGTTCCAACTTCATGGATTGGATTAGGAACATCAGGATGGTTACTCGTTACGAGGACAAGGAATATGTCCTCGATAAGGAGTTAAAAGAACTTGATGAGTCTACTGCTACTCCTGAGGAGATCGCTGAATTCAGGACTCATGAGAGAGATGCTACTAAGGTGGCATGTATCATGATGGCCACGATGACAGCCGAGCTCCAAAAGTCGTATGAAGATTTCTACCCTTTTGAGATGCACCAAGACCTGATGGAAAGGTACCATCAGAGTGCTCGTCAGGAGCGGTATGAAATAATCTCCTCCATAATAACTACCCGCATGAAGGACGGTGAATCCGTCACGGGCCACATGCAAAAGATGCAAAGGTATGTGGACCGTTTGCTGAAGCTGAATGTTAACATCCCCGAGGAGTTGGCAATTGACATCATTTTGCACTCCTTGCCTTCTTGTTATGATCATTTTCGAATGACATATCATATGAACAAGGAGGAAGTTACCCTCAGCAAGCTTCAAGGACTCTTGAAGACCGCTGAAACCGGTCTTAAGGGTAAAGCGGTTGTTACCTCTACTACTCCTACTCCAACTTCTACCCCTGTTTTAGCTATTGGGCAAGGCAAAGGGAAAAAGAGGAAGCACCCTTCGAAGGGTACCAAGGGAAAGTCTCTTGAAGGCTCCTCATCAAAGACTAAGAACGGTTCTGTCACTCCTTCTGCCATTCCCAAGGATGCTGAATGCTTTTATTGCCATGAAAAGGCACACTGGAAGCGAAACTGCCCTAAGTACTTGCAGGATCTAAAGGATGGGAAAGTGAAACCCACCTATGCAGGTATTTACACTATATTGTCTAATTACTCAACATATTCTAACTCTTGGGTGCTTGATACAGGATGTGGTATTCACATATGTTCTGATTTGCAGGGCCTAAGAAGAAGTGAGGATGTGGAGCACGGGAAGATAAACTTAATCATGGGGAATAGGAAGGCTTCACCTGTTTCCAAGATTGGAGTTTATACTTTGTTGCTTAATAATGGGTTAAAATTAGATTTGAATAAATGTGTGTACTCGTCTGAAATGGCGAGGAATATTATTTCTTTTCATGCTTTGTACAAACAAGGTTTTACCTTTTCGTTTGATAATGAATGTGGTGGTATTAATG